AATAACATAGAATAATGTGGGATCATATTTGAATATTTAGGAGTATTAACTTGAAGCCACTATTTTATACTTTAAATTCCACCATCAAATCAAGCATTCTCTTAGGTTGGCTCATGAAATATGTCATTGAGTAAGCTTTAGTACTTTCTACTAGGAGATCTTTTTAAGCCCTACTATTTTTTCTCTTATTTACATTCCTATATTTCTTATATTTTATAATAATTGAAGATTTCCCTTCATTATCCAAGTTGGCTTAACCAAATGGCCTTAATTTGAAAAAAAAATTAATGGGGCCACCAAAGAGTCTATAGACTCATCTTAAAAGACGAAGAGATGATTCATTTTGAATGATGAGGAGGAGGATGAATTCTAGAAAGATGGGATAAGTTCTTAATGGCATGGTCATACTAATTTTTCCTTTTGAGATATTAAAATTTGTTGAATGAGAATGTCTTGAATTTAACTAAACTTGAATAAATTTTAGAAGTTTATAAGGTATATTATAAATCAGAAGTTTGCAAATTAATTGATAAAATATTCATAGATATGAGTATGTTATATCATTATCAAGTCATATTTAATCTTGTTCTTTATTGTAAACTGTTAATAAGTCATCATCTTGGATGAACCTCAATGTATGCTAAAGGCTTATGGCCTTACAAGGGTAACTACCAAGATAGTCTATTAGATGGGACTTCTCTTTCTTACAATGAAAATATTGTCACAAAGAATGATTCCAAGCTCTAGGGCTTGGCACATTGATAATGGATATCTATCTCTTAGTGTGTATCTTTTCATAAAGGGTGTCCAAGTTCTAGGGCATGGCTTTTTTTCTTTTGTTGTGATTAACATTAAATACCAAATACCATGCTTATCATTATTATAGTGCAAGCACTACTAAATTTCTTAATTATTATTAAATATTGAAAAATGAGTTTTCCAACACTTACCAAGTAATAAATACTTAATTTCATATTTAATCATAAATGTACAATATTGAGTTCCTTATGCAATATCTAATGTCAAAAACTAAGTTCCGCTTTCATATATTGAATATTGAGTTCCTAGAATACTATTGAGTAATAATTATTGAATTTATCCATTAATGTTAATTATTGATTAACCAAGTTCCCCAAATATTGTCAAATGTTTAATGTCGTGTTTCTCAAGTATTATCAAATATTAAATATTGAGTTCCCATAGTATTCCTTAATATCAACTATTGAATTTCCTGAGCATCATTTGAACAAGTCAAGTGTATTATATTTACTTAACATTAAATTATTTACAAAGAAAGAATAAAAGCAAAATTCCTTAGAACTCATCATTATTTGAAAAAGCCTTATAAAAATCAATTATAAAGTTTGCAAAATATAACGCTTCCTTCTCACACAATTATTCTAAAACATTCATATGCAATGCTTTTCGCTATTTAATTGACTTGAGTTATGGTTTCCTAGTCTTCCCTTCCTTTTTCACTTCATGGAATCCATTCTTGATTGGAGAGTGGAACTCTCTTAGCTTCCTCACCTCGCGAGTTCCTCAACTAGGTTATGGAAGCGTTAACAATCCTATGGTTAGGGACATTACTTTATGAAGGGCATGATATTTTGATGGATCATGAGTGTGTGGTTGTGTGTTTGATGAGAGTGGCACGTAGAAATACTTCATGTGTTTTATGGAATATACCAATTTTGCATAAAATACTCAACTTATAAAGGAGTGTAAGCAGGGTATATATTAATAATATGTGACTTATCTCAAATTGGGATCGATAAGATGATGCACTCCTATGCTTGAATTAGTTAAGATGATGTCAATGTAATCACTGGTCATCATGGCAAGCAAAGGAATTCATCGATTTAAAATCATCTTTGCACTTATTTGTTTGTTGCTACAAGTCTTGGATGACTCCCATACATTAATTTAAATTCTCAATATGGTTATATCTTTAGCATTTTAAGTTATTCATAGGTTCTAACATTTCAATCAATGCCCCCCAATTACCTTAACTTGAGTGTGTGTCATAAAGGTCCTTTCTTAAGACCCTAATGGAGTGTAGCAAGGGCAACAATAGATTCCAAATCTGTAACTTCTACCTTTTTTCACCAAAATCAAATTATGGAATTCAAAGAGGCTCTTAATTCTCTTGTCTCATCAACAATAATGTTTGAGAATTTTTATGTGATATCTAAGTGCTTGCAAAATGGATAATAACTTTTTTTAATTCAGCAAAGGACATAATATTTTTTGGTGATAGACAACATAAACATCTAAGTGGGGACTCCTAGAATTTTGTAAATAATACCTAGCACTTTGTCGCATCAATGATATAAAATGACAAGGTAGTTGAATCATAGTAAGTAAAATGGTCGATTGGATCCATTTTTTCTCGGTACAATTCTAAATATGAAAATTTAAACTTTGTCAAATATAACACTTCGATGATCTCTCTAGAGAATGCACTTGCCGATTATGCCCAATGCTTTTTAACTCTCATTGGTGTTATTATATTATCACTAATTCTTGGTAGTATATGTTGTTAGTTACTAAAGTCAAGGACAATGTGGAAAGACTTAAAAGTCATCGAGGGAGAGGGGAGTATGTGAATTTGTTGTAAAAAATCTCCACATGATAGGTGCCTCTAGAATCTTACTACAAGGTTTTTTAGATCATTGTTGTAAGCCTCCCTTGCATTTAGAAGAGTTGCATTTTGTTGATGAATTCTTAATTTTTTATCCCAATTGATTCTTTCCTTTCTGGAATTTCTCTATTTTATAAGTACAAAACCAAGCTTATAGTGCTTGGCATTAATCCATCTTCATGACACTTCAAAGAATGTTTCAAATTTGTGTGTGGACATAAACCTTAATAGTAAGACTATTAAACTAATGAGAGAATAATAAATAAAAGATAAAGAACAGTGAGAGAAACTTTATAACTTTTGTTGCCAAAAAATAAAGGCCTCAATATAATAAGATGTGTACCATGGGTGGGGAAAATATATATCTCTTTAAGAAAATATTAAATATAAGGAAAATATATCAATTAAACAATTTACCCTAATGAAGGCTTTCATAAGATAAAAGTGCACTAATTATGGCACTTAAGAATCTTAAATGCATATTTAAGTCTTTCTAAATATAAGATGGGCACCACAAGAAGTTATTGGCTGACTATAATCTCCTTTCTTGAGTCCTGGTGAGTTGTCAGCTTGTTACAATAAAAGCTCTATACATATACCTAGTAATGATATGGGAATGAGAAGATAGGTGAGTTTCTATAATGAAAGCTCTCAATGGATATGCTTAGTTTTCCTTTAGGGCCAAGTAGGTAGGTGAGTTGCATTATGTACTTCATGTTGCTTTAGTTCTTGATGGTCTAAAACTTGGTTGTCTATTCATTATGTTGAAGGTGACTTTTGTCTCATAGCAATTTTAATCCAATAGATCCAGGATATTGACTTCTCCTACTAGATCAAAGTCAACTTAAATTTGCCCTCCCTTCATGATATTTACTTTAACCCTTGATGGCATGATGTATAACTATTATAATGTTAATGAGGAGATGTTTTACTTTTGATTTGAAGGTGATAAGAGGAAATTGATCATTCATAAATGTCTAAATAGTGGGTATTGAGGTTCTCATATATCAACCATCATGAATATTATAATTGCTCATTTTCAAAGATGGGAATCTTTTCTACGAATGAAACCAGACTATTACATGCTACAATTTACTATGGGAAAGAAAGTGTTTGTATCTTAGCATTCCATGAAAATATACAAATAGATAAATAAGTGAAGAGACAAATGAAATGTGATATGCTTTATGTGAAAAATACATAAAGGGAAATTTTTATGTAGCAAAGACATAACAATTTCACTAGTGAGATCGAGGATTACAAATGAAACATTTCCTTATAATTAAAGAACATGCTAATATAATGAAGACTTGTATTATGGAATTAAGAGTAATTTTGAGATTTTGGATTTATTATATCGTGATCTTGAGTATTTTTTATTGGCCTTTCTTTAATAAAGCGAGAGATTGGGTGAATTATAAAAGGAGAGTTAGGTGTTAATGTCTGGCAAACATTGGCCATCAATCATTGAAAAGCTTTGTATGGCGGTCGATGGGGACGTATTAAATCAACATTGATGTATATAATTTATAAATTTGCATCCTTTAGACTAATCTATATTAATGATTTTATAAGAGCTCTGATAGATTAAATAAGAGATGAAAGATATAATTCTTTCAATTTAGGTAATTTAGGTATTGAGGTGTGACAAAATGATATTAGAGTGAAAGTTATTAAAAGAATTGAATTTTAACAAGAGCCATAAGGTTTATTATAAGTTGGGTAGAAGAGGGTGGTATAGATTTTTCTTCCTTGAATTTGCTTGATTAATGTATATATATGTATGTGTATTGGATTTGATGTTTGTTGGATAAGAAAAGAGAATTATATTAGTTGATATATAGGTCATATTAATCAAGATATACATAATTGACATAGTACGACAACAGTCCCAATATGTTCTAACAGCTTGTCAGTATACTTGCATAGGTAATGAGTGATGCACCAAGTAAGAAGACTAGACATAACAAATCAAGAGATGATAAACATTTATAGATGTTCCATATCATTATTTAAGGAAGCTGTAGAATCCCAAATAGCAAAAAACTGGCTATTAATGATAGATAAAATATTTAATAGCATGTAGTACCCAAGAACATAACAATACCACTAGAAGTATTTCTGTTTGATGATGAAGTAGAAGGGAGGTGGATAGGATAGCAAGGTGAGAAATTCCAACAAAAAAAATGAATGCAAAGATTACCAAGGCAGAGTTTATTACTAATTTTAGAAATTAATTTGTAGGACTATTAAAAGCATTAATCAATTGCTTCCTTACCAGAAAAGCCAGAGCAGCAAATTTTACCTCTGGCATTATTCACAACAAGAAGATATGCACCAGAGAAAAAGTCCTGCAAAGAAGCACTATCAAGATTTAAACAAAGCTGACATCCGTACATATTCCATCCGAAAACTTGCAGTTTTCATATCATTGTAACATAAGATGAGTTCTAACTTTAGTGGTTAATCTTTTCAAAGCTATTTCTTTTCTGGTTGGTTAAGTGAGATACAACATGCAAGAGGCCATCTCAGCACTCAGCAATCCTTTGAAAGAGCAACAAAGTTCAATGGTATTGCTGTAGCAACCTTGTTTCCATCCTTCTTGTCCTTGCTATTTGATAAAATCACTGGTCTTGACAAATGTGTTGAGAATCGGCGGCCAACAGGAGTTCCTCCCTGCAAGTTTAAATTGCTTTGACCCAGGGGTTTCTTAGCTGATAAGTTCCTTAATGGGCTAGGCTTTGTGCCAAACAAAACCTCCTGCTCTGTAGCGTACTGCTCCTGTAATCTCTTATGCTCCTGCAAAGAAAATACAATCAATTCCTACCTATGGATCAATCATTGGCATCATAAAAGATTTATGAATTCGTTTACAACAGGTTAGTACAAAGATGGGCATACCACACCAAGATCATGTAAAAAATAAAAAGCATACTCTATTCATTTTTGACCCAAAAGAAGAAAAGAAAACACCTTATTTGCATCTTTTTGAGATGGGGAGACCTTGAAATAATTTGTTGAAAAAAAATGCACTATATTGACTCTAGCAGTCTGGTAAGACTAAGGCTTCATTTGGGACGGTTTTCTTCGTGCTTCTTAAAATAATCTTTTAGTAAAAAATTAATTTTTTTGTACTAAAAATATGCTTTAAGAAACATTAAAAAAGCCATCTCAAACGAAGCCTAATTTTTCAATCTGTTGTTTGCATGTAGAAAAATTTTCAGAAGCGTATTTAAAAATTATGGCGTGAGATTAATTCAAGGCATTAACCAAATAAAATTCATCTGTGCAACTGGATGGTTCAATAATGTAGTGCATACATAGAGTGTGGGCCTACTAGATGGGAGTGGTTAAGTTGTCCCACTTGTGACTTGGAGGTTAAAGTTTGACCCTATAAACAACCCACTTGCCTAAAAGCAATGGCAAGTCTATGTAAACCAATTCCTCAAATCCTGCAATGGTTGGGAAATTGGTAGATGCGTATAGGCATTGCATCCATGTATCAGATAGGGGTTTGCAATTCAATTGTTAGCACATAAAAACCCATAGTAAATGTGTTAAGGTCATTCCTTAGATGAAGCCATACATATCATTAGGAAAAATAATAAAAGTTCAAAAACAATTTAGCCAAAAAAGCAACTAATGCCAAATGGCGTATATAGGAATTAAATATGCAAATATTCAAAAAGATGCCTGCAGATAGATGAGATGACAATAATGATGACCAGTATAAATTCATATAAGACCTACCCTTGATCTGCGTCTTTCATCATCTCTTTGCTGTTTTTTGATAGCATATTCATCTAAGGTTTCTAGGAGTGATTTCTGCAACATAGAGCACTATGTTGAGTCCAGTCCGGATAGAATATATCAGGTGAAAAAGATGAAAGGCTGGATAGGTAGAATTCTACCTTGTCATACAAGAAACACGCTCCTTTATCACTTTCCCAAGCTTTAACTTTGGCTGTAAGAGTTTCTAGTAGAGCTGCAAATTAATAATTAGCATAGATGTTCAGTTAATAACTCAATTAGATTAATAAATTTACAAGAATACGCCTTCTATTTCCTTCAGATTGCAAAGGTGATCATTGTGAGCAAGCATGTTCTCTTTTGGATCACTACTCTGACTTCTCTTAATAATAGCCCAGTACTTCAGGATAGGAAATGCTTAAGATGCATGACGACAAAAATCAAAATATGGAAAATAAATGATTAATGCAGCTAACTCACACTGTAAATCATCAAATATTTGAAATCTTCTTTAGAAATGTTCTATTTATGTTATTGTATTCTAGGGCTATCTAAGGGAGGGTTGTCTGAGGTTTTAGGATCAAACTATGATTGTATTTTGGCTTTGTTGTAGTTATTTTCTTTGAGAGCTTTCTAGCGGCATCTAAGTTGATTGGGAGAGTCGATTTACCTCTCAAATTGTAGATCATTTGTATCATGTTATTTCTTATTAAAGTACTAATACAAAAATCAACCACCACTTAGGTTTTACTGCATTTTTCCTATTTGTTGTTTGCTTTTTTTTTCAAGGCGTATTAAATTGGTATCAAAGCAATTTCTTGGGGCCGATGGCCGGAAAAGTGGAGGCATTGGAAGAAAGGTTGGAGTGGGAAGTAGGGCAGCTGCGAACTAATATGGGATCGTTGAATGAGCAACTTTCAGCTGTTGAAGGAAGGTTTGGAAATATCAAGGAGATGATGAAATATATGTTAAAGAATCAAGCTGAGACGACTCCGTCAAAAATAAGGGGAAATCACGAAAATGATATGCCGAGAGAAAATTAGAGAGTTGTACCAAGCAAGATTGATGGAATGAAATGATAAAGATTGTTGGTCCTGGTGTAGATAAAGATTCAACTGAAGCATCCTTGGATGTTGATGGTAAAAGTGCATTAGCGGAAATTCATTCACCTACAAATCTCTCAAAAGAAAATAAAAATGGCATTGAAGACTGCAAGCATCATGACTTCATAAGCCAAGATAATGAAGAGACTTCAGAGAAAACAAGAAATTATGTACCAACTGATCCTTGTTATTCTTCAAATTCACATAAAGTCTTGGTGGATAAGTTGAGTGCAGAATAAAAGAAAGTTATCAAATCTATTAAGGGTTTAAGGGCAATGCATTTTCTTCTGAAATAATTGAACATTCTTCTACCGCTAGAGATTTTGTTAATTCATAATTCAAAACCAAGTCAATAATTGTTATGCTGACACGAGTTTTGAGAGATTCTTCACAAAAGAGAAATTGAAAGAAAAATGTTTGTATTATTTCACATAAACAAACTGTTGATAGAATTTTAAGTAGCAAACATGCTATAACTGTTTCACGTGAATCCAACAAGGAGATGCATTCCAAGATTACTACTCCCCCATTTTCTTTTGCAACTGAAAAAATATTCTTCAGCAGCAGTTTCCAACATTCCACCTTGAGGAAAAGGTGGCTCTTTGGGAAGGGAGTATTGATACGTCAAAAGGGGGGCACCTTATGGGACACAGGGAAGCTATTATTCATTATGTGAGGAAGAGAAATCAATGAGAAGTTGTTTAATTGTTTAAAAATATTTCCTAAATTATGTTTAATTATTTATGAATGTTTTTTAAATTATGTTTAATTATTTAGAAAGGTTTCCTAATGATGAGTTATGTTGATTAGGAATATTCTACTTATTTAGAAATATTTCCTAAATTATGTTTATGCTGATTAGGAAGGTTCTAATTGTGTTATTGTGTTCTAAAAAGGTGGCTCTTTGGGAAGGGAGTATTGATACGTCAAAAGGGGGGCACCTTATGGGACACAGGGAAGCTATTATTCATTATGTGAGGAAGAGAAATCAAGGAGAAGTTGTTTAATTGTTTAAAAATATTTCATAAATTATGTTTAATTATTTAGGAATATTTTTTAAATTATGTTTAATTATTTAGAAAGGTTTCCTAAATTATATTTAAATTATTTAGAACGGTTTTATTTATGTTATTGTGTTCTAGGGTTATCAAAAGGGGAGTTGTCTAAGATTTTAGGATTCTGCTATGACTGAATTTTTGTTTTGTTATATTTCTTTTATTTGAGGGCTTCCTGCGGCGTCTAGGTTGATTGAGAGAGTAGATCTATCTATCAAATTGTAGATCACATGTATCTTGTTGTTTCTTATTAAAGTATTAATACAAAATCCGCCAGTGCTTTGGTTTTACTGTAGTTTTCCTATTTGTTGTTTGTTATGTTTGTTTCCAAGGCATACCAGATAACTCATACTTAACTTATTAAGCTCTCTTGCTTTCACTATGTCCTTGCATATCTTTAGATTATCACCATAAAGCTTCATCAGTTTATTTTTGATTCATTAATTAACCTGTATTACTTCTTGCAAGTCTTACGAAGCACTTCCATTAGCTACTAAACCACTTTGTCTAGTCATAACAGTATATAAGGAATCCGATAACAATTTTCTTGCAACTATTACGATTGCGAGATTTCAAATCAATGATAAATCAATAATCCTCTTCGCACAAGGAACTGATTTAGATTTTGAATATCCAAATCCAGCCATTTCGGCTTCAGACTTGTTTTTGATAACTTGGAAGTGCTGATACTCGGGCCAGTTCCCAATTCCAGTTAAAACTGAGTGGAACAAAACTGATAAGTATTACTAGCAGATAGTAACAGCCAACCAACCCGCTAACCAAGCCATGATAAACTTATTATCCACGTTTATTATTTGGATAATAATCATGAAAGCTTTTCCAATCATGATAAGCAAACATGCAACAAAAGAAGCCCATTCACCTAAGAAAATCCAAGCATAATCAAGTAGTTTACTCATGACTTCCTTGAAAATCCTAGATCTGACAACAATGTTTAGTAGGTAAGGCCTGGCTTTGTGGGAAATAGGCTACTTTTTCTATTTTTTGCTTTTATTTGGGTTCTTGTGGGCTGCCATTTACATGTATTTACACATGGATCCTAACTTGTATTATTAGTTTCTAATATTGAAGGACCAGGAGTATCTTCCCATTTTTTCAGTCATCAAAAAGATCCACGAAAGGATAACACTAATTTTCCAAGTTCATGCACGCTGCATACAATATACAAATATCCTTCAGAATGAAGCTATTTCAAATTTATCGTGAGTTTCCAAGTAAAGATGTACTACATAATAGAACAACAAAAATAGACATCACTAGGTGTAAGCTTCATAAAGAAAGATTACATGGTATTTTGCTGACTAATAGCCTGGCTTTTTCTGCACGCTTCAAGTTTATATGTGCTCCCCGACCAGCACTGTAGCGATTTTGATCCTGTTGAAAACATTAAAAAAAAACTTGTTTACAAAATATTGAAAAACCTATATAAATTTTACTGTATCATTCGTAGAGATCAAAAATATAAACTAGCATCTATAAAATACTAGCTTTCTAATAGATTTAAAAAAAAAAATCTTGATGATTTCAACCAAAAGTTGTTTGAAATTGGCTTTCTAACATTTATAGCGCAAGGTTAACTAGTTTAGGACGTTCTTATAGTTGCAAATATCTTCTAAGATAATCCAATTTCAGTACTTACCTAACCACCCCTAAAATTAGGAGATGAAAAACTTTTTGAAATATCATACTAACAAACACACAATGCTCGTGATTAGATAAAAAGAAAAGTTTTACTTTATCAAGAGTTATGCTTAACCAGTATACTTAGAACAAAGGCATCTAAGCTTTTTCCTCTAAATAAAAATTTTTGTTGACTTGCTAAAAGAATAAAAAGCTCAGCTCTACTAACAAAATTTTTGTTAATCATTTCCATTTAGGGAGAACTTTTTGTATATCTAAGGCTGTTGATTTATGATATCATAGGCTAAATAAGTTACACAAATAGGAACATAAATTCAAATTTCAATCCAATTTTTAATTTAGATAAATTTAAAGTGAGAAATTAGATAGGACTAAAAATAATCCATCTTCTTAGAACATATATAAGTTAAATACATAACTACCAATTAATCAACATCATAGCTAACAAACTAATTAATTCACATTATCCCTAAGTAATTAATTAGCATCACCACTAAATGCATCAACACTAATTATAGTAATAGCAAAATAATTAACATCACCACTACCTGATTTGAAAATACTTTTTTTTATTACTATATACTTTTTAACAGAACAATCACCACAAACTAATTTTTCTATACCACCACTTACTAATTTTTCCTAATAATTTTTCTAAGATCACCTCCAACTAATTTTTTTCTAATACATTTAAACAATATGTAAATACATAAAGACAATACACAAATCTAAAAATTAAGTACACAATTAACAAACTAATTACCATAGCCACTAAATACATCAACATCAATTATATTTATAGTAATATAATTAACATCACCGCTAATTTGAGAATACTTTTTTTAAATTACTATATAGCATCAAGAAATACTAACTTTTTAATATTACAATCCACACAACCTAATTTTTCTAAATCGCCATTATTTTTACTGATAAATTTTCTATGATCGCCACCAACTAATTTGTTCTAATGCATTAAATCAATATGTAAATACCTAAACACAATACACAAATCTGAAATATGAAAAATCATTTAAACAGAATAATAAAAATTAAGTAAAAACATAGATCTAATAGGAAATTTAACTTTTTAAACAAAGAATAGAGAATATTTGCATTAGGCAAATAAGAGAAGACAAAGTGTAGAAAGGCTTGTGATCAGCCGAAAGAAATGCGACCTGCTCAAGCCTCCGATGTATGGAGGAGAGATGCTAGTTTCTAATGGCTATTGAGCTTACTTCTAAGATGCTCCTCAAAGGAAATAGTCTCAGGTCTAACTGGAGTCCTTCATGTAACCTTACTGTATTTTTCATAAGAATATATATTTCTTCCAGAGAGATCTCTAAAGAGATTGTATGTGTTCAGAACTCTACAGTATATTATTGTGGGCTCCAAAAATTCGGGCCCCGGCCTCCCCTGCTTTCAAAAGAGTTTTAACGGATTAAGTTATGGGGTAAATTTTTAGTAGGCAGGTTGGTTTTGAAATAAGACACTACCTAGAGATTTCGCTCTCATTTTGCGAGGTTTTAAGATCTAAGTTATGGCTTCATATAGGCGCAAACCCCTATAGTTAATTAACCCTCCCGATAATGACAGAGAACTTTTGATTAAGGCTAGTTTTCAATCATATACGTATAAATATGTATGTGTTCTCTAGTGTATAGTAGCAGAATGGGTTTGTATTTGAAATTTTGATATTTAAAATTAAAAATTTCACCATCTTGCAGTTAAAGCAGATGATGAGATAAATGATGATGAGCCCAATCAAGATCTCATGATTCCATCATCCCGGACTATTATGATTCCTGATCTACTTAGTCGGAGGAGATAGTCGACCCAACCTGACAGAAGAATCCTTGTCGACAGCCATGGGTTGCGTCGTCCAAGGGTACCTTATAGACCTGGGTGAATGTTTGTCTAAGGAGACAATTTTGAATCAACCTTAGCTAACAAAGGGCTTTGTGCCCTATTGATTATATCATATTGATTCATATCTCAAGGATTTAGTACCATTGGGGAGCATACAAGCTCTAGTCATGACCGTAATTTAGTGGTTCCATTTGGCGGCAAACCACCCAGTTCAGAGAGCTCCGGTCATAATCGTTTACCTACGATATCATTTTGCCACAAAATCGTCAGTTAGAGAACACGTGTCACGTCCTTGCTGGCAAGAGACTGTTTGAGAATGAATTTGATAGGAATTGGATGCACTTTTTCTCGAAATCAGCAAGCGACAATAAGAAATTAGGAAGAAAAACAAACCAAAGCTATTTTTATTATAAGATATAAGAAAGAAAATAGCAAGATACATTTGGATATTCAATTCGAGAGGAAGATTCGGCTCTCTCAAATCCCTAGCTTCCGGCTAGAGCCCAAATAACCTAAGAAATTCTAATTTCAACAAACTCCAAAAAACATCCTGAAATCATCCTATTGTTAAGCCTTAAATAGGCTCTCATAATTCCCTCCCAAATCAACCCCCTTTTCCTAAATAATTCTCTCAAAAATTTGAATTCAAATTCGATTTATTTTCCTAATTAATTCCCTCCCAATTATAATTAAAACTTTCTTAAATAATCCCCCTTAATTCCTCCTCTTACCTAAATAATTCTCTCTCAGATTTTGAATTCAAATTAGATCTCTTGTCCTAAATAATCCTTTTTCCAATTGTAATTAAAAGATTCATAAATAATTCCCCTTTGATTATGAACCTTCCTAAATAGTTCCCTCTTAATTAGAAAACTTCAATGCTTACGGATGAGCTGATTATTCACCTGCCAGTTGATGTTGACTGCTAAGTGAGCTTTCTTTATTCATGTATCCACTTCTTTATGTTCGCAAAGGAACATTCGTCCTTGCAATCTGCTTGTTATTGTTGCTTGCAGACGAGCTGACACGTTTGTTACAACCGCCTCATCAGTGTTTGAAGGATATTCATTATACTCGCACCACATCCATTGTAGATGACTTGATGTGTTCGTTTATAGTTAAGTGGTGATGATAGCAAGGAGGCCACTACATTTGTTGCACACACTTCATAAGCACATTGTCGTGTTCATTACGACTATCACGCCTCTTCAACAAGCACATGTGTTATATATCAATTAACTTCATTTATTGTTGATATATGATGTTTATTGAGAGTCTTGTGCATTCAATTCTGTATCTTTTAGTGTTCGTGGGATCAGTTGCATGTAGTTACAAGTCAGCAGATGTCGGTCGTAAGGAGACCGTTGCATTACACACTCATTGCGTATATCATCAACATATTCGTCGGGACCCTTCTAGTGAGTTAACACATCCATTAGGAGTTTCCTCCATTGATGCTTTTAAGTTTCTTTGTACAGGCTTGTGGATGTCTAACATGAACATTACAAGCTTTCCATCGCTCATATGTAAGTTAAGGGTTTTGAAATGTCACTTGCAATCAAGTTACAAATTCATATTAATTATTGCTTGTGCGTGAGATGAAAGAATTTTCCCCCAGCCCACCATAAAGCATTGCTTTTTCACTTATATCCACTTGAATGATCAGGATTCATTTATTAAGCATTTAGATTTTGATTGTTCATTTGTTAAACCAAAGTCAGGTTCCATGTGTTCCATTCAAGTTCAAATCCCTTGTGATTCATTTAAATTTCAAGTCCATTGTTACTTGATTTAATTTTGGGTCCCTTGCCATTGTTCATTTGAGTTCAGAACAAGTTCTCTGTTGTTCATTTTTGTTCAAATCAAGTTCCCTGTTCTACTGTTCAGTTCAGATTTTGGCAACCTACCGACGTCTCCCCCGTATAGGGGAAATTTCAAGAGTCTGAGTCATCCCACCACACTACAAAAGCATGTATGGTAGGTGTCAAGCGATACCGCAGTTGTATTTCTTCAATCCCACCATGCTACAAGAGCATGTATGGGTTTTCGAGGTACCTGTTTGAAAATGTACAATTTCTTTCCCCGCCAACACTGAGGAGCATACGGGTACTTAAAAGTGTCCCCGCCATGCTATAAGAGTGTGTACATGGCCTATTCGCCTCGTCGTAAACGTTGCACCGAGCTCCTCCTTCCGTGCTACGAAAGTGTGTATAAGGGGTCCTCTGGCTCACCTCAAACGTCGAGAGCGGAATTTTTTGAGTTTTAGAAGTTATAGTTGCACGTAGTGGTGTCAATTCGGGTCAACGGGTCGAGTTCGGGTCCAACCTGAGTTGACCAAGGCATAAACGGGTTGACCCGAACCCGACCCGTGTAGCTAGACGGGTCAGGATATACAACCCGGACCCGACCAGCTCGGGTTACCGGGTTGACCCGACCCGCAAACCCGAACAAATCTAGATTTCCCCTCTGTAATTCAGCGTGTTGAGCCACGCGCGCCGCGTAGGGACTCGCAGAGGAGCCAGGAAAGAACTGAAGTGTAGGAGGCTAGGAGCGAATCGAGTGACCGACGGAGGAGCGGACCGGTGGTACAGGCAACTCGACGTCTCGACGGAGTGATCGTGGACATGCAGAGGAGCTGAGAGCAGACCTGCGACGGCTGGCCAGGCGGACCAGAGTCACCAAACGACGTCCAATCCATTAGGACTTGAGGCCTTGATTCCCTCCCACTGTCTGTCTATCCCACAGGACCCACACGACATGACCGACATTCAATCGAACCAATCCCTCGTTTCGCCTTCCACGCGCGGGAAAAATTAAAATAAGCGAAGCAAAATGCTATCTCAGGTCAGATTTGAACGCATCCG